GGTTAAGGCGCAGCGCTCTCGCCATTGCGTCCCAGGTTCGAATCGGGGTTGCATCAGGAAGGGCATCTGACGTAAAACACGTGCCAAATGTCAACATGTGAGCCGTCAGATTCGCTGTGGCGACTCCTAAACGGGAAAAGCCAAATGTGACTTTCTTTCTGAGTTAAACATCACTGTGGGTTGCTCTTGTCAGTATACAGTGTGTGTGTGTGTTCTTGTGGGGGAGAGGGAGTCACACGTTGAAAGCCACTCATGTGGAAACTGCATCACTCTGTGTCGGTTGTGATTAACATCGTGCCCCTCGGTGTAACAAGCATTTCATGTTAAACGTTTGTCATATAACATCCTCCATGTTGCCAAGTATGCCATACATATGATTCTGTCCCGCCTGTTTTCGGTCTCGTGCTTTTATTTTGACACAACTTCCTGTTACAGCTTTATCTCAGCTACGGACTTTTTACTTTAATCAGTACTCATTGTTTTCACTCCCTTATAGGCAGCTTCCACCCACCAGGAATTGTTCTAGACTCTAGCTCTGACTTTCCAGCATTTTCTTGTACCTGATACTCTTGTTCTGACCCCGGATTGCTTGTTTGACCACCGTACCTTGCCTTATCTCCCCAGATTCTGATTGCCTGTTGTGTACCGACCCTTGGATATTCCTTTTCTGACCTCGGCTGTATGTGTTTGCAGGCACTGTCCTTGGACTGTATTATCAACCCGATTGTGATTCTTGACTTTTGTACTATTTGTTTTGTTGTTGCAAGTAAAGAGACTATCCTTTACCTTTGTTCGTTGTTATAATTGAGTTCACTACAGACACTATTTGGCAGCTTCACTTGCCAAACCTGACAATACATATTATTTCAATGTCCAAAACTTTAAGTAAATCAGATATTTTTTCTGGCTTTGATCTGGCTTGTAAATGAAATGCTGTGTGTTCTTTTTTACCCCCACCCCCCCCAAAAAAGAATTTAATACTCACATGGCCTCCCTGTCTGATTATATACCAATGAGAATGCAGATGTTTCTCTGTCTGCGTAGACAGAGACTTGGCGGGATAAATTGGTATATCGGTCAAATAATTTCATTATGATAACACAGTGGAAGTTGAGATAGACCAACAATCCAGCCCTGTCGCAAACACCTATACTTCCCAATCAAAACCAGCTGTGTGGGGCAAACCAAAGATCCACTTCAGCCTCAAAGGTCCAGTATCTATCAAACTCTAGTCCAGTCCAGTTCTAAATTCTAAAACCCAGTTTGTTCTGGAGATAAATAAGCAGCTGCAGGAAAAGGCTAGTATTGCTTTCTACTTTTAAATCTTTGCCTCAAATCAATACATTTTTTCAGTGTTTCTGTTGTTGAAGAGTTTAGAGTAAGAGGATTGTTACTAAAATTCTTTCCTCTTGCTTTTGTAGTTTTTTTCATATGCAAAGCAAACAGTGAGAGCTTCCCAAATTGTTATCTACTACCATAAATTAACAGAGTACACAGGAGCATGGGATTTGTTTACTCAGTTCTTTTCAACGCAGCCAACAGCACTGGTGTATCTGCATGTTCCCCGAGGGGCTTCACCATGGAGTGAGCTAAACAAAACGGATGTGAATCATGGAGTGGATAAACTCATTAGCAACTTATCACTAAACAGACTCACATCTGCACTTCCATTTTTGGAGGGCGCTGAATTAGAAAACATGTATTTGTGTCAGGTGCTATTAGGTCAGACACAAAGAGAGGCTGTATCTGTCTGTTTCCATTGGCATCACAGACCAGCTATCAATACAGCGTCGTTCAGTGTGTTGGACAGCAACTCAGGGAGTGTGCGTGTTGTTTCTGTTTCTGAGGAGGGTTATAGTTGTCTGATCCCTGTTTGTGTTGTGAACCAGAAGTCCACACATTTGTTTGATTAGGAAGTTTGCAGGATATTTGCACTGATGAATTAATGGTGGCAGAGCAGTGGTGAAGAAGATGCTCTGGGGGGAGAAAAAGAGAGAGTGAGAAAGAAAAGACTAGAGAGAAGTTGTTGCTCCATCCTGCCACGCTCCACTCCCTGCATCAAAAACCCAGCTGGGGCAGACATCACTCACTCGACAGTGATGATGGGAATTGGGGAGAAAAGGAAGGACAGGAGGGATGGAGAGTCAGTGTGACAAGGACAAAGCAAAGACAGGCCACAAGCTTGCTGTGCTTTGGGGGGTGTTGCAGCATTCTGCACTGTGGTTTACGCCTTCCACATCAACACAATGCTGCTTCAACCAGTAGCCATTAGCAGCAACTTGTGAAGGAGAATGACTGCGTAATTCATGGGAACTTGAAGTCATGCGTCATCATGCCTTTTGATGACTTTTACGGTGCAGTAGGCTCTGAAAGTGTCACCCACACAGACACATCCTAATGCTTGCATCCTTATGAGAGCCTCCCACTGATGATTTCATGCATTCATCTGTATTTAATCATGACCAGTTATCTATACTTCGTTATCCGTTGACAAAAGCCAAGGTTCATTTACTCAAAATTGCTGTTCCTAAGGCCAAGACTTAATTGCCAAGTTTAAAGTAATAGTAGTAATAGTTCATCTGTGTATGGCAGATATGAAGCTAACTTATCTTAGCATATTCTCTAGACTGGAAATGCTGTGATTTTTGTGTGGATTAAGCAAAATAATGCATTGCGTGCTCCACACATGTGGGTGTATTTTATTATCTTTTGACTGAGCCAGTCTAGCTGCTTCCCTTTATTTCTAGTCTATGTACTAAAAGCAGAGACACACCAAGCCAACATGAAAGAACTAGCAGTGACTAAGGCTGACCTATGCGTCGCCTCACGGCAGTCGGTTTTGTGAGATGGCACTTGAACACACCGCACAGACTACAGCCAACAGCCAACTAGCACATATGTTCTGCTCCTGCATGACAGAAATAACTCCCCCTACCAGCAGTTGACAACATCTGTATTCACCATTTAGAAAGGGAAAGAAGAGGCAGAATGTGGAAGTACAGTATAAGTTATAAACTGTCCGGTCGGATAAGAAGTTGCAAATAAAACTGCCATTCTTTGCAGTTGGTCTTTTGGTTGTGGAAGAGGAAAAGAGGTTGTGAAGGAGAAAACCAAGGAGAAACTGCACCAAATGGGTGAAATCATGGATACTACAGTAAGAGGCTGAAGGGACTTTCTTGAACCTTTCTCTTCTTGTGCATTGATTGCTGACACCAATTCAAAAGGTCAAATCGGCTGAAAAGCCGCTGACAGGGACTGACTAGTGCCACGGGCTCTTCTCAAAACCCTTGTCCACCACAGTGACAGATTTTATTTTTTGATGGACTAACATCTTCAGCTGGAGTTAATCATTCAGCTGGAGAGATTTTACTGATCTGTGCGCTAGCGGTCTGAGGAGAAACAGAATGACAACTGGCATACCAAGAGGAGGAGGAATATTGAAGTGGTTAAACCTGTCAGCAGCATCTACTCCTGTCTGTTGCAGCCTCAAGGCACATTCTCAGTTTTTAAAATCAAACCGCATACTGTAGGTGTAAGACTGATTTGTAGCTGTGACACTTTGTGTCCACTGCATTAAATAAAAATATAACATTTACAAAGAGGATTGTCTGCCTGCTTTTTAAAGCACATGCTTTTGATGCTACAGCTGTGCACCTCAATTCACCTGCAGGGCCCTTTATTACTGCATACTCAGCTGTTAGTGACCTTAAACTAGATTTCCCAAATTTGTGTTGCTAATTGAAATCAAAACAGCTCAGAAGTTAATCTATAATGCGCTGACAATATCTTATTCTAGGCTATTGTGAGGAAAGTGTGATTACTGGTGCAGAACCGTAGGATGCTAACAGATGTCCCTTTGAGCAGAGCTGTTCTGGGAACATCAAGTGTATTGTAGCTGCCTGTGTGGTAGAGAGGATGTTCACTAAGTATTGCACAGATTCGTTCTCTCTCCCTCTCTTAGTGTGCATTCAGGCTGATCCGGTAAAAATGCAACTCCCTGCTGTGTTCAACACAAGGGGTTGTGTTGTTCAGGAGGGTGAGGGGTTGCAGGGCGAGTACTGTAGGCGTGAGTCACTTCAGTCATGTTTCCAACCCAGGAGTTTCTGTTGTGTTTTTGTTAGCCATGCTGCTAAAGTAACCTACTATACCTTAGCACCAATTCTACTACCAGTGTGTTGGCACTGATAGATAAAAACCATGTTTATCATCCAGTATTAACAAAAATGCATGGTGTGTCATTATGGGGCGTTAACTGTGGCCCAAGTTCTATGGCGCCAGACAGATGACTTTAGTCTTTGGCAATGAAAAATAAAGCTTGGCCAGGAAAACAAAACCGTAACTGAAAAAGCAAACATTGACCCTGAAGCATTTGTATTGAAAAAAAGGCAAATTATTATTATTTTTATCAGTAAATATACCGTTGTTTACGTATCTGTGGAGGAGAACTTCATATTAATTTATGCCACTGTGGCTTGTGGTACTGTCCACTTTCATATTTTGGCTCGAACATGTCAGGTAGGATTTGAAGTATTGTCATTGTCGAAGACATAACTTATTTGTCAGTTTTCTATTCCCCCATCAAGATGTGTTTCCCCTGTTCCAAGCTGAGTTTCATGTAGCACCCCCTTTAAGCGGTTGTGATTAGGATAATGTTAGGATTCAGGTTAGGGGAAACATCTCAATGGGGAAATAATTTCGACACAACACCAGCAGCAGGAGGTGAGCACATTTACGAACTATCCTCTCATTTTCAGGAAGAGGCTCTCTGGTTTTATTGTTCTGAAATAATTACAGACTATTGGGAGTTATGGGGGGTGCAAAGCTAATCTAGAGGTACCCAAGATTAAACATTAAATGGCTGGAAATGAGCACCCATGAGGACTTTAAATGCTGTGTCTTTCATATTTACTCCTGTTTTATCAGTCACAATCATGCAGCAGTCCTTTGTCTAATCCAGTGGTGAATGTCAAGTTTAATCTTTAATAATAATAATAATACTTGTATAGCGCTTTACAACTCTGTAGGAGCCCAGTGCGCTTCACAAAACAACAAATAGAAAAGAAATAACTAACAACATAGCAATAAGACCAAGAACAAGAAAAATAAAAACACAAGATATAAATCGAAGGCTAATGAAAGGCTTCCATATCAAATATAAGTATTAAACAACAAGCTAAAAGACATCAACATGATGCCATTGGAACAGATTAAGCACAAAAAGCCTGTCTAAAAAGATACGTTTTTTGTCTGGACTTAAAAAAACATAACTCAGTTATGGACCGTAACTCCGGCGGTAAGGAGTTCCAGAGCCTGGGGCCATATACGGCAAATGAACGGTCACCCCATTTTTTTGTACTTAGTCCACCTTTAGTCACCTGTTGTACCCTCAGTCTGCAAGGCAGCTTCACTGATGTATTAATGTGGGTGTTTATATGTGTATGTGTGTGCGTGTACGTGGGTGGATGTAACACACAGTAAATCTGATGTATAAATTTAGTTCATTTTCCATTTGCAGCATTAGGTTTTAATAGAGTCATTAACAAGGTCTTTTCAGCCATGTTATAGCCAGTTAATAATACATCCATGGTGATGAGGCTTGTTATTGTGGACATTAGAAGAGGAGGGCGTAAGGAGCACCATCCATCAAAGATATCAAAAGCGTCATGTTTCTTGCATTTAAATCCATCTAGATTATGATCAAATTGGTTATTATGCTTTAATATTGGCAATATAACTAAATAAATCAAAATGCTATGTAACCCTCTGTACTAGTGTCCCTGAGCTTTTTTCTGGCTTCACACAGTTTTGACTGTTTTTATCAAAAAAGGTAGGGTGCCTGTATACACTGTACATAGGAGGAGGGTTTTGCAAAGTGCATCGTGCACCTGTTCATTAACCTCATTGCTGTGAGCACACGATGCAGATGAACAACATTTTTATCAATTCTGATCTTTGTTCATGTGAACTGTGGTGGATGCATTGTGACTGAACAATGCTCAAAGAGACTTTAGTAAGAAAATCAACCTGAAACAATAACAGTGAGGGGGTAAATCATCCATATTAGCTTATGTAGCTCTGGTAAAGATTCTCAAACCACCATATTTATAAATCTGAATTTAGATCATATGTGATTGATGCAGTTTCTTTCTACAAAGAGGTGAGCAATGTCTTTCAAACCTTCAGTAACTCAAATGTTTTCCTTGTACTTCTACTACAAAAGGGCAAAGTGAGAGGTCCCTGGGGCAACTTTACATTGTATTAAACAAGATGCCTTCAGTTGCAAGATTAGTTTTTAAACATTAACTATATGCTTATTCCATTAATGAATGTGCAGTTCAATCCTGAGGAGCAGGCTTCAGCGTTTCAGTAATGATTTGGTGTGAGAGTCTGTTTGGTCTGACTGACAGCCGCCTCCGGGAGCCTCTGTATTCATTTGCCACATCCAGCTCAGCTGTCTCTTTCCATTTAGGAGGTATTCTTTCTCTTACCACTCCTAACACCCTTGTCTTCCTCTTGTTCTAGAAAGTGGGAAAATAAGAAAGAGGAGAGGTTGACTGAGGTGAGAGAGATGTGGAGGTGGAACTATGTTACTGGGTCATCCCAGGTAACACCAGTCACTCAGTTACTTACATTCCGTACTTCTGCAGCTACAGTACAGTACTGCTCCTTGTAAAACAGGCCCAAGTGCAGCTGCAGCAGAAAAGGACATTAATAATCGATGCTCAGTTAAGCCTGTGAATAGACATCCTGATTTATAGTCCATGATGTCTTTTTACAGCATGCAGGATATGTGTGACCTAATCAGCTGGTGCCAGTGATACCAGCAGTTACAGATGTTGGTGCCTCCAGCCAGTCACTGCTTCCTATCCTGCAATGAGCAGATGTTCAAGTGAGAGCACGGTCACAAAACAGTGAACACAACCAGTGCATGAATCTTATGACTGTGGGAAGTTCAGCATTCAGGCACAGGGAACAGACAGTAGACTATGAACCGTAGCACAGATAATAAAACCATTTTGTAGGGTGATGAAGCAGTGTGCCATGATTTTTTTGGTGCCGTGGATTGAAACATTTTTTTTATTAACTGACCTTTGATTTTATAAAATGATTCTGTTTCTCTTGCTGTCTACAAATAGTCCCCCAAACCATTTCTAAAACTTTAAGAATGGGTCACAAATATCTTTCTTCTTGTTAAGTTCGCTCGGACACGGAGGTGAGTGAGGAAGAATAGACTGACCCAGGTAGCTGACTTCGGTGCAAGCAGTGCTAAATTTATTTACAGTTACAATCACAGACAGGTAACTAGACAGATGAAGGGAGATGGAGTTTAAGGCAGGATCTTAGGGAAAACACGTAAGGACTAGGATTCATAACACTGGTAGGAAACAAAAAAAATAACTAGCAAAGACGGGCCTGAGAGTTGAGAAAGAACTGGCAAGGGAGTGAACGGTGAGCAGGGTATAAGTAGGGAGGAACTAATCAGGTGCAGCTGGTGATAATCAGGGGAAGTGAAGCAGGTGTGCCAGATGGTGTAATCAGGGTGAGGGAGCCAAAACAGAGTGAGGGGAGTGAGAGAGGCAGGTGCAGCCGGGCAAACCTGACACACCCCCTTTGTTTGTTTGTTTGTTTGTTCTTCTGTGTGTTTGTTTTTATTTAAACAATTTGCTAAAATAGCTGGGCATTGTAGTTTTTAGTAGATTTTTCACAAACAAGAGTAAACTGTGTATTTTATGGATGATGAATTTGGTGCTACTATTCACACCAGCGGGATGGGAACCCATGTTCAGATTCTTCAAGGCAAGAACAACATATGGATTGTTTATGTACATGTAATAGATTCTGGACAAACCATGAAGCTCTATAGTACAGAAAACACGATATACTGTATCAGGCTTTGGAAACACAAAACATACTTGCTAAATGGATTAATTCTTTGTTGGTTTTGGGGGTTTTTTTTGGCAATAGGAAACGTATAGAATACCACTACTTAGTGTGTAGTATTAATGAGCTCCTTACAATGCACGGTGGGTTTCACCCCAAATCCAGCATCCTGGGACTGTACACTAAGCGGAAGGAAGGAGGCCGTAGTGATAGATGTAGCAATCCCAAGCGATGGCAACATCAGGAAGAAGGAACAAGAAGCTTGAGAAATACCAAGGGCTGAAAGAAGAGCTAGAAAAGATGTGGAAGGTGAAGGCACAAGTGGTCCCCGTGGTAATAGGAACACTGGGGGCTGTGACCCCTAAACTGGGAGAGTGGCTCCAACAGATCCCAGGAACAACATCTGAGATCTCTGTCCAGAAGAGTGCAGTGCTAGGAACAGCTAAGATACTGCGCAGGACCCTCAAGCTCCCAGGCCTCTGGTAGAGGACCCGAGCTTGAAGGAAGGAATACAAGACCGCCCCAAAAGTGGGGGGCGAGTGGGGAATTTTTATATATATATGTATATGTGGCAGCAGAACCAAAGAACTGGGAGTTCTTGTGCTCTGCAACAAAGGCTTAGCGGGCCCATGTCTGGTTCACCCTGCATGTGCTTTGTGCGTAGAGCCTGTCTACACAAAGTCATTGGAGCTGCTCTTTACTGTTCCAAGGATATGATGCAAATGAGATGGACGGGGTCTCACACTGGGGGTCCTTGTTCTAATTAGAGTGGGCAGCCAATCAAAGGCTAGTGCTTTGACAAATGAGCATGGTTTCACAGCCAGCTCTGCCCTGGGTCAGATGGTATGTTTATATATGACTGTGTCTGTCAGACATACATAAGCAGAAAGCCAGAGGAGAAGGATTTTAATTTCAAAATGTATTTTTTTTCCCAGAGTGGGGCAACAGTTACACAAGGTCACCATGAATCACTGCACCCTCTGCCCACAAGGATCCCAAAGCTTGTATAACCAGATAGCCTAATTAGTTGAACAGTAAATACAGCAGGCAAACAAAACAAATGATCATAAAAAAGTTCTTCTCTGACCAAGGAGCATGCATTATCCATTTATCTTTCACTGAGTTTTTCCATTCCTTAAAGAAATAGTTCAGCATTTTGGAAAATATGTGCATTGGCCTTCTTTTTAAGGTATTTAAAAGATTGTGATGTATATCTATCTTGTTACGTCCTAAGCTAGAGTCAAGATACTGTTAGTGTAGCCCCATGTGAATTAACATCTAATTAAGTCTTTGCATTGACTTTGTATGTGATCACCTGACCAGAATGTTGTCTACCTATAATAAGTACCAAAAGATATTCATTCCAAGAAGCCTCTATTACTGCTCTGTAAAGCCTACTATTAGAAAGAAAAGAAATAGATGTTTTCTGACTGCACTTCAATAAGTTAACTAAACACACCAGCTAGTATTCTCAGGCTTTACATTAATTGTTGCAGTTAGCAATTGTGGAAAACACAATGACATGTTTGACAAATACACTTCTGTAGCTCTGAGATATTAGTGCATATTAGTCTTTCTAACAAACTAGATGCAATATGGGAATCCAATAACTGTGATAATTAAAACTCACCTTTTCATCTCTGCTGTCTCACCTGCCCCTCCTGCTCTGTAATGTTCTAACATAATGTTGAAAACTGCCGATACTCAGAACCCCTCCAGATTACTGTAGCACCACAAGCCACAGTGGCATGACGTTACAGCCACTACTTCTTCTGACCAATCGTGTTGCTGCTTGTCGTCGGCGCTGAGCAAATGAGTGCATGAGAGCAGGGCTGAGGCTAGCAATGATACTGCAGTAGTAACAGTCCCAAGGCCCTGTAGATACTCACTGACTCAAAGGCTGAGGGCTGTGTATGACTGAGGAGCTGATGGGGTGTGTTTGTCACCAAGATGAGGACAAAGAGAGCATGCGTGTTTTTTTTCTGTGCGTCTGTATTTACTGCTTGAGTAACACAGACAGCCAGAAAGCCATTCCCCAGAGGCCAAGCTGAAAACATAATAAAGCAATGACTTTTTTAAAATTCCTTTTTCCCTTCCTACCTTGTGTGAGCTATGATAACTCCTCTGCTAGTCAAGTGAAAGGCTGTGGCTGTCTGACAGTGTTGGCAGATGCTGCAAAGAGGTGGAGATATTACAAAATGCAGCGCAAGGGTTGGTTAGCTGGCAAAGTATTTAATATGTGCTGGTGTCTTCGACTGGTGTTGTTTTAGCATCTGTGCTTCATGTGATCAGTTAAAGGTGGGTTTAAGTGTGCAAACCGGTGCCTGGGGAGAGACCTTTTGTTTAAACCCAGTCAGGCAAGTACCACATACTTTACCTCATTACATTCATTTTGGCACCTGATTTTAGTTTAATCTTAGTTTTTTGACAAAAATGTGTACTAGATATTTTAGCATTCAGCGTGTCCTAAGCATTTGTAGGCTTCGGCTGTCACCATCTTTGTTCTGTATAGTTACCGTGGTTACAGGTGTTGTTCTCCTCTTTCACAAGGTTGGTGGAAAAGGCTGTTTATTTGTTCCCTCTGCTCATAATTCACAAGCTGAATTCACTCACATTTGGGCTGAAGTCCTGTTCGCTGGGTTCAGCTTGAGAGGAGAAGCTAAATCATCATAACATTATATTTCTGTAGCCAACATCTATACTAATAGCTTGGGCTTTGTCCTGACAGCACAAAGCAGGTGCAGCGTTTTATTTTTTTGCTTTGGTGTTTTTAGTATATTCCTGCCATGAATGAATCCGCTTACAGTGAATTGGGAGGAGAGGCACAGCTGAGGTTTATCCTGATTAGGCAGCACAGTACAGTTTGGTGCTCCTCCAAAAGTGTGTGTTAAAACCTGCTCAGACCACCTTTTATCACAAATGCAGATGCATTTGCTTACAACAGTCTAGACTGGAAAGCATGAGAACCGGTTAATTTATTATGAAAATGTTATTATAAAATAATTCCTTGGACTAAGAAATGAATCTTTTCTTTATGGACCTCAATCTGTTATTTATTGAACCCATCTAGGAAGTGTAAGGGGGGTTGTTTCAATGTAAAAGCTGTGCATTTAAAAGTTGACTTGATATAAGTTGTTTCAAAGGTAAAGGTATTCATTATGCAAATCAACAACCCTTGTGAGTGTTTTTTTCACAATTTCACTATTATTACTGATAATACATGGATACAGTAGGTAAGCAGCATTTTAGAAGTCACAGTTAAACAACACAATACAGAATATTATTTGTCCATACCTGTTAGAACAGTACATGGTTTGGATTAAGATTACTACTTTGTTAATGTCAGTGGACGTTTGTTCTCATGGTTCTGATTGGTCATGGTTAAAGGAAACCAACGTTGACTGTCATTTGTGAATGGGTAACAAACAGTGGTGTCCCGTGTTAAACCCCAGCATCTGATGACTTGTCCTTTAGCACCAACCTAATCATTATGCTCTAATTTCCACAGGAACAAATGACTGTAGCTGTAGATAAAGGTGATGGAGTAAAATGTGCAACATTTCACCTTCAAAATGAAATGAATAAAATAGAAATGCTCCAGTAAAGTAGCAAGTGAGGCATCATGCATGCAATGCTAGTTACTTTCCATCACTGTACTTATATCCTTGAAAATTAATAATCTTATTGCAAATTAATATCCAATAAAATGATGATAAATCAGGTTTATAATATAGATGTGATATCAAATAGCATAGAAAACCAAAAGGAAATAATGAGATACCTCAGTCAGCCACATGGTCATTCAGTGGGTTCCCCAGCTGTATGCAGATCTCACTTTATGGAATTACAACACAACAGCAAAGACTAAAACTCACACACAGCTTGTCACTTTTTTATTCTCCCATCCATGCAGGCTACAAAAATCAGCCTTTGTCTGCCTTCACCAGTGGGAAACAAAACATAAGATAGAAAACAAAAAGGTTGGTGCCAGTCTAAAAGAATTTTTTTTAAAGGTGGGACAAGCGATGGCACAGTGGTTAGCGCCATTGCCTCACAGTGAGAAGGTTCCGGGTTCGGGCCCCGCCTGGGACCTTTCTGTGTGGAGTTTGCATGTTCTCCCCATGCTTGCGTGGGTTCTCTCCGGGTACTCTGGCTTCCTCCCACAGTCCAAAGACATGCAGCTTAGGTTGATTGGTGTCTCTAAATTGCCCATAGGAGTGCATGTGCGTGTGTGTGGTTGTTCGTCTATGTGTTAGCCCTGCGATGGATTGGCGACCTGTCCAGGGTGTACCCCGCCTTCGTCCGATTGCTGGCCGGGATTGGCTCCGTGACCCCGTTCAGGGACTAAGCGGTGAAAAATGAATGAATGAACAAGCGTTTGTCGAACAGGAGATGTGTCAGGAATGAAAAATTACATACAGCAACTGTGGATATTCAGCTTGGGGGTTGTTGTTGTTTGTGCGCGCGTGCACTCATGTGCACGTGTATATTCTAAACATAAAGTATTATGTTTAGAAATTTCATGTTTGTTGACATTTGTGACTTTGGTCACGGTCAGATCACATTTCATCACCGATTTATGCATAAAACCAGGAAATTGCAAACAGTGCCATTACTTTTTCTTACTACTGTATCTCACATATCACTAATGGGAAGACTCTAATAAATAATTAATGAGACAGGAAGGTGGGTTTCACTTTCTATAGTGTGTTGTTCAACTTCAGCTCAAGGAAAGGCATTTCACCCATGATTTTAACCGTGCATTCTAATGTCTAATGACAAATGATTGGTTCCAATTAAATAAGACAATCACACCTGAATCCAGGTTATCACTTTTCAGTTCAGTGGACCTTTTATGCACTTTGTGGCTGGGCTTTAGCTGCCAGTCTCACTACTTTCATCCAGAGGCAGCCCAAGTTTAAAGCCTCATTGGTCAAAACCACCACATAACCCTTTGACACAGAATTGCTGCTCTGGCATTTAGCAAGGGCAGATGAGTGTAATGCAGCGTAGAGCTCCATACATCATTATGTGGAGGTGTCTGACAGCAGAGCAGAGAGAGACGAGGTCTAACCGTATTTCATTAGGTGCCTGGATGTAACAGAGGGCCTCATTAACATGCATGGCCAGAGGTTGTTGTTGCCCTCTGTCTCTCTGTGTGTGTGTGTGTGTGTGTGTGTGTGTGTGTGTGTGTGTGTGTGTGTGTTGGTATCAGGAGCACGGCTTTAGTCAGGCAGTCTCAACGGCAACTGAGTCATTCTTATTTATTAGGCTTAAAGTAGTCACAGCTGTCCGCTTGTTTTGTTATGACCACCTGCCTGCTGGCACCACGCAAGAACTGAAATCCCAGCATTATATTTCAAATAGTCATTTGATACAAGTCTGAGGGATGGCATAAAGATGGGAAGATGTCGACAAGAGATGACTAGGACATACTCTGAAAATTATTCTCTCAGGATTAGCAGTCTGTGTTCTTCTATGTAAATCTAATGAGTCCTCATCTGAGTTTCTTATTAGAATAACAAATTCCTCATTAGTTGTTCTAATTCATTACTGATTAACCAGGGCTGTCAAACAAAGAGGCTATGACTGGGTAACTTCAAGTCTTTTTTGTGTACTGACTGAAATGTTGAAATGTTTTTGTACACACTGATCGGACACACTTCCACCTTAACATCTGTGTTTATGAAGCTCAAACTGTTTCCGTTTGTATAATGTATAAATTCTGTTATATGTTTATTATTGAGGTCGTAGTTAAAGGTGGCGTATGGGACTATATTATATTCAGAGGTGTCTCTATATTTTTGTCCTCCCTAGTTACATACATACATGAGAGGGTCAACATATTAGAAACACCTCTGAATATGATGTAGTCCATGATATATGTATGCAGTGTACAAGGATAACATCATCTGCCCATCTTAAATACATTGCAATAGCTCAACACAGGCATGTGATCCATGAGTCCTTATTTTCCTATACCCACAGGAAACTGCATCTGTACATTTTGGGTACATCCTAAGTATCTCATATGATCATTTCTACGTCCTTGGTCCTTGGTCCATTCCAAGTCTCTTATATTGGCTCTGAGGAGTGAGGAGGCTGCTGGAGGAGCCATGACTTAGGATACATGAGACCATTCTTAGCAGAAATCTTTTATGAGCTGCCACGCCCCTTTATCAGAAATCAGTTGGTGATTGGACGCTTCAGATGAAGGACAGGAGGAAAGGACATCCCGTGTTGTCAACGTTTCTTTGAGTCTTCTCTCCTTTCTTGGTTTCCTTGCGTGTTTTCTTTGCATCTTGCATGGGCGAGACTAAGACACAAAGAAAATATGCAAGTGTGAGAGAAACGATGGTGCTTATAAGAAACTTGAGATGTTCCCTCTGTTAGCCCCTTGTGCCTTCATTAAATGGGCCTCTATGCATTAAATAAATGTGATTGGTTTTTTCCTTCCTTGTTGTTTCAATGTTACATAAGCGGCATTCAGAGTATTGGGACTCTAAGGCATCATTGCTGTCAGATGGGTCATTATGCTGCCAGTACTGTAGCAGAGTATGACGTCAACCCAGCCTTCCCCACTGGCTTTATATAGCACAACACCCTCTTTGCTGCTATATGTAAACACCAGTTCCCTAGAATAAAAAGGTGTTATGTTACTGCAAGACAAGGAGTGGGAAGCGAAGCAGAGGAATGGAAGGCAACACAAATGCAGCACGCTATTTTTAATAGGTCTAATCCCTCTTAGTAGGGGAGCGATAAGCATGTTTTGACTTAGCCCCAAATTTCCTGTTGTTTATGCATCCTTTGCCAAACCACGTGGATCTCTGTAGAGTCAGATAACCTTAGTGATGCCGGTTTGGCAG